TGGTAACATCACGGGGGTTGTGTCTTATTTCCGAGAAAAGATTGAGGAATTAAAGAATTGCTTTTCCTTTGGTCTTGGCTTTAGAACGCTGCACTGCAGAAAAGTTTAAAAGCAGACCCTCCTGGTCCTCCCTCTGATCATATATAATTGTTGTGCCACATAAACCAATGTGAAATATTATCATTCCGTAGAATAAGTTGTGCCCTTACAAATTTTAGGAATTTATGTGTAATTTATTGACAAATATATTAATAGATATTAGTGACAAAAGTTTAAGTGTTATGTACGTATAAATTTTACAGAGTTTATATGTAATATTTTAAATTATAAAAAATTAAAATGATTAAGTAAAAATAGAGTTCGGTCACACGTGCATATGGTCAAAGATTCTCCACCCACCTGCTCATCCAGTTTTTCTCTCTAAACTCTAATTCAGAGCCCACACCCACATAGACTCTCTCTCTCTCTCTCTTACATACACACGCCCCACTTTCCATCTCCAGACAAGGAGTGGATAGTAGATAAACAAAGGCTAAAGATTTTGTTTTCAGTTTTTTTATTAACCGATGACCAAATAAATCAACGTAGTCTTTTTTTTTTTTTTGGACATTACCCACATTATGAGGCAGACATGGCGGAGACACTGGTAACGGTGTTAGATAGGTTTTCTTGGGGCTATCATCCTGGATCGCCGGTGTTCCTCCAATCGCCGGTAATGCTAGGCTCTTATCATATAATGAGATTAAATGATCTTGAGGTTAAAATTTAAATTCTAAATAATTACATATGAGACAAACATTAATCATATTTGACCAAAAGATCGACACCAAAAAAGATCAGTAATGATTGAGGTGTGAGCGTTTAAGTAAAAGTTAACTAAGGCAAAATTGACAAAAAAAAATAAAGAACCAAAAATATCAATAATATTTTAAGTAAAATTAAACAAGGTGGTGGTAGGAGAGATAAATTATATGCATCACACACAGAGGACCGACACTAGTACATCTATAAGACGATCATTCTATCAATAATATTTACGGTATGTTAAGGAATTAAAAGATTAACATTTTCAAAAGCTACAAGTTACTGCTATGCTTTGCGACTATCGGCATCCAGCATGAACACAGCATTGCTTTTGCTTTGGCTTTAGAAAGCTGCACTACAGAAAAGTTTAAAACCATGATAATTGTTGTTCCACAAAAACGAATGTAACATATATTATCATGGCGTACAGTAAGTCTTGATAGTAAAATTATCTTTTATGTAAGTGAGACTAGTGTTCATTTCGTGCCATTCACGGCTATTTAAAAAAAAAAAAAGTATAGTGATGCATGCATATAGTCACAAATTCTCCACCGACATGCCCATCCAACCATTCTCTCTAAACCCTAATTCAGAGCCCACATAAACTCTCTCTCTCTCTCTCTCATACATACACACACATGACACACCCCACTTTCCATCTCCAGACACGGTGTGAATATTAAATAAGAAAAGGCCCAAGGTTTCATTAACCACTTCCCGGTGTTCCTCAAACCAGTAATGCTACTCTTAGCAAATAATGACATTAAAAAAAACGTTCAAACGATGTCATTTTAAAATTTGAATTCTAAATAAGTGAAATGGGGCTAATATATATATATTAGCACTGCATCATTTGATTTATATTTTTTGTTTTATTATTTGTGCAATCAAATATTGCTCTTCTCAACCATATCTGGTCAAAAAGACGGGCACCGTAAAAATAGAGATCGATGTGTGACGCAAACATGTTAAGTAAATTTAAATTCCAAATGAATAATAATGAGGCCAAAAGTATTAATAAAGGACCATGTCATTTAGTTCTTGCTTTAGTCTATCATTTGGTCTCTAACAAACTTTACTATTTAGTTCTTCCTTACCTTGTATAACAACAATAAGATTCGAATTCGATATGAAATTAGAGGACATGACTTTACTATTTTTTGACATAAACCTAGAAATAATACAACTTGCTAACACGAATAATAAACGGATTGAACTAGTATTAAACACGAACAACTTAAAATTAATACGATTAATACAAAATAGTATTTTATGAATAAAATGCCAAACTTTTATTATTTTTTTTATCAATTATAAACCTGGATCCTTGTAATATAAGAGAATTTTGTTTACTTTTTTTTTATTATTATGTATATTTTGTGAATTTCTAATTTATGAAAAAACTATAAGTGTTGATTTGGTTTTAGATGTTTGATTCTTGAGTTACATGGTCAACCAAAATATGATATGATAGTTAAAAAGTTGAGTTATATATATGTGACACAATTCATTAAAAAGTAATGTTATTCGAATTTAAAATTTTGATCTAATTTGTTGACTTAATACTGTGGTTTTATTTAAATTATTTGATTAACACCAAATTTTAATATTTGATAAAAATAATTAAATTGATTAATTAGAATTGATTAATGCTATAGACATGAATCTTAGATTCATGAGTTCATCACCCAAGCTACACCAAAACCACCTGATACTTCCCATAATACACTCCAAACTTTTGTTTCTCTTTTCAGGAATCCCGCACAACATCCTATTGATGAATCACTGCCAGGGAAAATTGATAAACCTATAGTTTTCTATGAAGGAGAGCTAGCTTTCTACTTTACCAAAGAAAAAATACAACAATCAAGTCAATCATTGCAATATGCATTAATTGGCAAATGTTCTTGTGGTAGACCCTCTCTTGGTGTCATCAAAGAAGTGATACGATCGAAATGGAGTTTGAAAGGTGCTTTTGAAGTAGGTTCAATTGACCAGCGACATGTGTTACTAAGGTTTGAGTTCCAAGAAGATTATGTGAAGACATGGCTCAAAGATGCAACTCTGATAGAAGACTACCTCTTTAGATTCTTTAAATGGTTTTCAGGCTTTGTTCCGGGTATAGAGCCTTCAATTGTTCCTCTATGGATATCATTGTCTAGGTTACCTTTGAATTTCTTTAAGAAACCTTACTTAGAGCTTTTGGTGATGCCCATTGGAACAGTCTTGGTATATGACCAAGCCACACTTTCATTGTCAAGGCCAAGAATAGCTAGGGTATGTGTAGAGGTCAATCTGCTGCATAATAACCCAAATCGAATTTGGATTGATATGGGAGAAGAAGGGGCTCGTTGACAAAGAATAATCTATGAGAGATGCAAGAAATTCTACAAAACCTGCAACAAGCAGGGCCATGTCAATGAAGAATGCAGAAAAAGGAAAGTTGCACCACACAAGGAAGTTGTGAAAGGTAAGAATCTAGGCTTGGAAAGAAATGGTAAAGGTAAGGCAAGCAACGAGCAAAATAAGGAGAATGATATTCAGCATACTCAAAGTTTGGAAAATACTCAAAAGGTAATTTCAGGTCACGTTTCATTCAAAACTCAACCAAAGCTAGCATATGCAGCTCATCAATCAAGGGGAATTTGGAAACAACATCTAAAGCCTGGGCAATTCAATAATGCAAAAAAGGAAATAGCAACAAATTCGGGGAGATTAGCAAATATAGCCCACGAGATACGAGAAGTGGAGCAAGAAGCGTCAATTAGAATCCTTGAAAAAGGGGATCATTCGGGAATAGATAATCTATCTAATATTCTATCTAAGGTAATTGTGCAGGCCAAAGATTCAGAGAATCCACCATTGTCTAAGTCAGATTTGATACTGGAAAAAAAGGATCATGAACAAAACCTTATGAACACCAACCAACACTCAGCATCTGGCTATGAATCTGCTGCATATAAGTTGGTTAATTTAAATGATGGGGAGGATGAGAATGTATTTTCTATTTCTTCTGAAGATATCTTGGACGATGGGATAGACAAGTCCTCATCCTTGTTGGATTATGGTCACTATAAGCAAGATTTTGAATCCTTAACAGTGGAGGCCGAGGAGAAATCAAAGTCCATTACTCCGGAAATGATGGTAGCAGTCCGTAAAAATATTCATAGACAAGGAGAGATAATTCCAAGCATGTCAGAGGAGGAGATTCAAAAGACCTTAAAGCTAAGAGGAGTTTATTCGAATGATGACTACATTAAGAGGTACTCTCTTCATGAGCAATCAAGGGGTTTTTACTTTGATGGGGAGGAGGCACTAATAGTTCGAGAAAATGATTTTAATTCTTTTATGTCATCTTCTAAAAGGTCACTATCAATATGCAATAAGGTTGAGATGCAGAAGAAGAGAAAAGAGAAAGAATTGTCTGTTTTGGCTCTGACACTTGATAAAGTCAAACCTATAATTATGACGAGATCAAGAACGTTCAAGTTGCCAAAGCCAAAGAAATCCTATGGATTTAGATATTATTAATTTTTTAAGGATTGGTTCGACTTAATGAGGACTCCTGCAGCCACTACGATTCCAACATTCAGTCTTTTAGCATTCGTATTATTCTGTCTTTTAACTGGGTTATTCGAAGAAAGCAACAGATTAATGTTCAGCTGTCCAATACCGTTCAGGATACTGTTCATCTAACTTTCTGATGGACTGTCAGCTAGCTCATATCCTCTGGACTCGTCGTTGACTGTAAAATGCAGCGTGTGCAGTCATTGTTAAGACTTTATATTGTATTTAAAGTTTTTTTATTATGTAAGGGAAAAAGTTTATGTCCTCTCCTCTCTTTATAATTTTGTTATTGATAAAATTTGTCCTAAATGGGTTTAACTAAAATAAAATAAAATAAAATAACCATTAAACCATTGTCATGCCACATAGGAATGCCGATGCTTTCATGTATCTATGATGATTAATTAATACAAATTTTGTTTCCCGAAACTTCCAAGAGGTTTCCCTTGCAAATGCATGCCAACACACTAGTCCATGAAACTTTCACATGTTAGGGATTTGATTGGTATCTAAATGTAGATGCTGCTGGGTAGAAGACTCGTCTATATATATTCTTCTGATCCCACCCCTAGTTTTTCCAATAAACTAAACCAAGCTAAACCAAACCATTCCTAGCTCTTCAAGTTGACATGGCTTCTAATGTTTATTCGGATCAAATCTTGAAAAACAATAGCTTTGATCTTCCTTGTCCATGTCCAGACTCCCACAACATCTGTAATAGCTCCATTGAGAATCAAGTCAACCCCACCAATCACCCTATCCCCATTTGGAATCAATTATCAGTTGACATTTCCAGCTTCGAAATTAGCCAAGAAAGCCTTGCAGAGACCAAAGATGTGGGCTCTCTTGATCAACAACCAGGTGGCGTCTCTGCACTGGAAGCAGATCCTGAAAATGGGATATCAGTTGATCATGAAACAGATCTTTCTCTTCAATACAAAGCGACTGATCATACTAAATCAGTTGATCATGGTACGAATCCAAACCTGGAAGAGCAGCCTTCTACGAAGACGAAAGGCTTCCTCACACTAGCCTTGGAAGCTTTTAAAAAACATACTTCAATTATCCTTCTTTTCTGCTGCGCCACACTTTCCATTGTGATCGACGTCAAAAGGAACGGTGCAGAAGGAGCAGTCTTTGATGCTGTAGTTACGTACCTGGCCATACTCACAGTTGTCTTCTTCGGCGCCATTGCAAGAGTTTTCAAGAGGAACAAAAGACTGATCAACAAGTTGTCAAGGATCAAGTTGATGAGACCAACAATTAAGCACTTCTTGTTGGAGTCATCAAGTGAGGAGTCGAAGTTGCAAAGCTCTATTAATACAACCTATTCTCGTTTGGAAAAGATTTGTTTGAGCCTGTCATTGCTGCTTCTTGTAGCGCAGGTCCTCAGATGCTTCCTATTGGAATCAGGGTGGTGTGACGAGAATCACAACCCTGATCCCAAAGGTGTGAAGAACACGGTGGAGGAGATGATGAGCGAAGCCACAAAAATTATCAAGAAGCAAGAACGTGTAAGGGTTAATAGATTGGTTTCTATGCTCTGCTTATTGGTCTTTGCAACAAGAGATGGCTTGCCTTTAGGAATTTCTATCTCCTTGGCATATGCATCTATGAAAATGATGTGGTCGTATCGAGCCATGGTCAGGAAACTTCCAGCATGTGCCACAATGGGTTTGATCACCACCATCTGCACCGGTAAAACGATTGATCTAGCTCTGCAGCATAAGAAGATGGCGGATTTGTGGATCGGTTTCAACAATATCAAGGAAGTTTCAACAGAAGTAGCAAGTGAAGTCCTTGATAAGTTGAGGGAGGGAGTGTCTATGAATATGATCATGACTCATACAAGCCCAGGAGAGGATGCTGCTCTTCTTTGCTGGGCTCAGCAAGTGCTTGGTATCAATACAGAGGAGTCGAATCGAAGTTGCACCATCCTCCATACGCACGCTTTTGATCTCAACAAGAATCAAAGGGGCTTATTGTTAAGGAGAAATGGTGAGGTTGGTGGTAAAGCTTTGCATGTACACTGGCAAGTAGACCCTGAGATGGCACTATCCATGTGTTCAGAATATTATGACGTGGATGGAACTATGCAAACCCTAGATGAAGACAAAATGGTAGTTTTTAAGAAAATCATTGAAACTATTTCCTCAGAGGGTCTCCAGTGCTTTGCTTTTGCATACAAACAAATTGTCGTACAAAAGAAAAAAGAATCCCTGAAACTTGAAGAGGAAGAAGCAGAAGAAGAAGAAGAAGAAGAAGAAGAAGAAATCCTCAAACCCATAGAGTATGGCTTAACCTTATTGGCCCTAGTGATCTTGAAGAACCCTTATACACCGCAGGTGAGAGAAGCTATCAAAGGTTGTAGAGACGCAGGAGTTAAGATCAAGTTAGTGGTGGGTGATGATCTAAACACAGCCAGAATCATGGCCATCAATTCCGGAATTCTGAGTCCTGAAGAAGACATTGAAGGAGCAATAATCAAAGCCTCTGACTTTCGAAGCATCTCTGTGGAAGAACGCATGAGCATGATCAATAACCTCCGCGTGATGGCCAACACCACCTCTTATTCCGATCAATTATTAATGGTGCAGTGCTTGAGACGGAATGGTGAGGTGGTGGCAGTCACTGGAACGTGCACTAGAGACTCTCCGTCCCTAGGCGAAGCCGACGTTGGGCTTTTTCTCGGTCATATTGGTGCAGAAGAAACAGAGGAAGATGTGGACATAGCTGTCTTGGACATGGATTTCTTGACAATCTCTGACCTGTNTGGTTAGGAAAGCATTCCAGCAGAGAAAGTTGAAGATGGTGATGATCCCCTAGCACGCTAATAAAGGCAAAGGCAATAATTAGTCGATGCATGGGGACATTTGTGAGTGTATGCAGCGTGCGTGGCTCCACCCTTGGTCCAATGTATACAATACATGTTAAGATTTCAAAAGTAACCGTGCGGGGAAGAAAAACAAAAAGTAATAGTTTTTTAGATTTTAGACATAAATGGTAGGNATTATGGATGTTCTTGGTGCCTTGGCTTTGGCCACCACATCAATGGCGGCGGAGCCACTGCCTTCTATGATTCAACTAGAGAGACCGCCGTCACCAGTATATGGTGCTGGCCGTTCAATCTTAACCAAGAGAATGAAGATAAACATTGCTGTCCAATCTTTGTTCCAAGTCACTCTTCTATTGATTCTGCATTTCAAGGGAAAAGCTATTCTCCAGGTGGACGAGACCACATTAGAAGCTTTAATTTTCAACTCCTACATGCTTTGCCAAGTCTCTGTACTGATCAACACAAGAGAGATTGACAAAACTAATGGTTTTGAGGGGATGTTTAAGCATAAGAACTGTGGGTTTCTTGTCCTTCTAGGAGCCATCGTTGTCCTGCAGCTGGTAGAGATTGAGTTGGCTGCGGTTGTTGCTCATTCAGCTAGGTTAGATCTGAAACGATGGTGCATCTGTATTGGAATTGCAGCAGGAGCGATGCTTATAGACTGTTTGGTCCGTTTGCTGAACCTAATTAATCTAGCTACTTAATTTATTATTTTTATTAGATTAGTTATGGGTTCAAAAAATTGTATAGAGTAACTTTTAATTATGTAATAATTATAATTGATTAGGTTGGTAGATTTAATCTTGAAATTTAATACGAATAGCATTTTCATGTGCAAAGCTTTATGAATTATCTTAATAAGATTATTTGGATTTACTTTTAATTGATGCAATGGATCAATTTGATTCATAGAGTGGTACTCAATAACTTAGTATATGCATACATATTTTTAAGCATTTTTAATCTAGTAAATAAATCGCCTCTTTCTTAACTCAACCATATAAAACTGCAAATCGACTTGTAATAGAAGTATGTTGTACTTGGTTAGGAAAGCATTCCAGCAGAGAAAGTTGAAGATGGTGATGATCCCCTAGCACGCTAATAAAGGCAAAGGCAATAATTAGTCGATGCATGGGGACATTTGTGAGTGTATGCAGCGTGCGTGGCTCCACCCTTGGTCCAATGTATACAATACATGTTAAGATTTCAAAAGTAACCGTGCGGGGAAGAAAAACAAAAAGTAATAGTTTTTTAGATTTTAGACATAAATGGTAGGATAATATATATATATATAATAAGACCCGAAATCTTATTTCAGCAGAGTCAATTAATTGGCGGCTCCCATTCCCATTGGCCAGGTCGGTTAGATTTGGAAAATCAAATTAAAACAGAACAATAATGCCAAACTTAAAACAATGATTCCACATTTATATATATATATATATATCTATATATATATATATATATATATATATATATATATAAAATAAAATAGGAGTATTTTTGAATTTTATCTCAGTCATATTTTTCTTTTTAAAATCATCACCAATCACTTACCTCACTCATCATTCATTTGTCAGACTTAAACGTCAAATTACATCACTCATTTTTATCACATATTTAATCATTTATACATTTCCTCCCTAAAAATATCACACCTCTCATTTCTATCATACATTTAATTATTTAATATTTAATATATTTTAAAATAATTTAATATAGTGGAATCGATTTTTTAAACGTCTAAATTTTATATTTTATCGTACTTTCATATACGAATTATGACTAATATATATATATATATATATACATATATAGCAGTTGTACGCCACACTCAGTTTTGTTTTGTGCTTCAGACAATATATTACCAAGATATAGAGACTGAATTGGCATGAAGTGCGAACAAGGATGTCATCGAATCTCATACATGTCGGAAAAAATAATAATAACTTAAAACAATGATTAGAAGCTGAGGTTTGTACTTCGTCGTTACATTCCGTCATCCGGTGGTAAAATTAATTTGTAAACTCAACGAATTATGGTCATTAAATTTACAATAGACCCTGGTATTAATTGACACTTGTTAAAAATTTGTTGATTATAATCCATTAGGTTAATAGATAAAAGTGTTAATTGCACTGGAGGTCTCCAAAGTATGAAATTTGTCTCATTTTAGTCTTTAATATTTTAATTGTATCATTTTGGTCCCTAAAGTATGAAATATGTTTTTATATGGTTTTGTAAACAGACAACATCTAGATTGCTAGCAATTTTTTATCATAAACTTGTCACGTAATACTTAAATATGGACAAAAAATAATTTTGATAACTCTTAAATAAAATTTGGGTAGCTCTTGATTAAAAAATGTGTAATATGAGTAATTTTTGACCAAAATTTGGATAGTTCATGATCAAAACTATGAAATTTAGATAACTATTGAACTAAAATTTGAGTAGAAATTTGATCAAGAGTTATCCAAATTATTTTTTGTCCATATTTAAGTATCACGTAATAAATTTATGATAAAAAATCGTTAAAAATCTGAAAGCTATCTGCTTGAGATATCATATATAAACATATTAAATATTTCATAAACCAAAATGATGCAATTGAAATATTGGGAACCAAAATGAGACAAAATCTATGCTTTGGGGACCTACAACACAATTAACCCTAGATAAAATCAATAAATTTGGTATAAATAGTGTTTTCTTTTGCTAATTATGGTTTTAGTATATCATAATACTTTTAACATTTTTTGCGATTAATAATAACAAATGCAGCCAAAATTAAATTTGTGATTACAAATAAGTTTCTTTTTTTTTTGGTATGGTAGCCACATCCAATCGTCACCAATAGTGGGAATGGCAATGGATTGGGGTGAGACAAGGGGAGTAGTCTCCACCCCCGTATTGGCTTAAAAAAAGTTTGTTAACCCCTGGTCCACCCTCGTTAGTGGGGAAAGTTTTAATCCCCAATTCCGTCCTGCAGTTAAATTTTGATCCCCGTCCGTGCTTTCACCTCTGTTCCTGTCCATTACAATTAATTTTTGTGAATATTAAAAAAAAAATTGAAAAAAAAACCATAACAATTAAAGTACAAGTTGTATTACTGTATGCCTTTATTATATGATATGATCAAAATAAAAAAACAAAGAAATGAGTTTATAATAAAATCCTTGTGTAAATTGAGCAAAAGTAACAACAACAATAAATATATATTTAAGTCTCTACAAAATAGGTTGGGTGGAGTGCGGCGGGTACGGGACGAGAATAAGTTTCGGTCTACAATTGTATCTACGGCCATAAAAATTTATATAGATATTTCTATATAGGTTCATCTTCCAATACATATTATCCATTTCTAATTAAAAAAAAACAAATTTAAACAAATCCCTATTTTTTTGAGGGTTTGATCAAGTCTCAACCTTACTGTATTCCTTGGTACCATTTCCTTACTGGAACTGACTCGCTTTTTGTTGCCAGTCAGGACACTATTACATATCTGTTCAAAAAAAAAAGACACTATTATATCAACGTGATAACAACTTAAATATGAAATTAACGAATTATATTGTATTAATTTTCATTACAAATTTAAAAATGACACGACTTTTTAACTTAAATAATAAATCGGTGAGGCTAAAACCAAACACTAATAACTAAAAAATGACACAATTAACATGTTGAATTAATATTAATATCATATTTTAGTTATTTTTATCAAGTATCGATATGAATCCATGTTAAATTAGAGATCTTTTACTTGCTTTTATTATTATAGATTAGTGGATTTTTAGTTTCTTGAAAAATTGTGTGCGACTTTGGTTGAGACATAACATAATAGAGTCTATTTTCATATTTTTTTATTTATGACTTATATAGTTCACATCGAACACAACACAATAATACAATATAAACCAAATAATAATGTTAGTACAATATGCTAACACGAAAAGTAAATGGATCAAGTTCGAGATTGACACATTTAACTAATATTATATGAATATAATGTCAAATTTTATTATTTTTTATCCAGCATTAAAATAATTTTGTAAAATAATATAATTTTTTTTGTACTTGTTTTGTTATTTTAGGTATTTAGTGATTTTTTAGAGTTTAAAAGAACTATGAGTATTTGGAAAAGAAATAATAGAATCTTCTTGTTAAATTGTTTATTCACAGAGTATATGTGTCAAGCTGAACATGATGCAAAAACAGATCGAATTAGTATCAGAACATCAGATTAGTTAAATAGATTAAGGTAAAATCAATTAGTGCTTGACACAAACTTGAATTAAGACAAACTCGACAAAACACAATTGCCACCCCTAGTTTTAAAAATTAAACACGAACTTAACCCATATTATTGGATTTGAGTAAAATTCAAATTTCTATCCGAATAATATAACAGGAGATTGAACCAAGATTTCACGTTGACATCCATCACTTGTTACCTTGTACAAATTAGCATAAAAATAAGGATAGTTTTTGTTGCTGGGTACGATTATACCAGTGATAATGCATCAGATTCTATCAGAACTCTCGAATTAAGCATGCTGGAGAGCATGTACAAGGATAGGCTACCTCAAGGAAGTCCTCATGTCACAACCCTTGAAAAACAAGATAATATTAGTAGCCATCAACAAGCATTCCCTTGCAGTAATGTTATCAATATGAAAAGCAGTAAAAGAAGCTTTAGCATTAGCATTTGTATCGATACCACTACATAACCACATTCTCAACAAATTCCTGGATATATATGCGATAAAATCATGACAGGAAAAAATAAAAAAAGAATGCACATTTAATGGCACAGGATCACTTTCAAATATATTGGCTCCAAAAACCATTCAAACTATGACACAAAAAAATTGCACCTCACCAGTTCTCCTACTAACCTAATTTACATGACCATAACTTTTAAAGAAAGAGAAAACATTACAATGCTTACCAAGCACCAGCAGGCTTTTTCAAAGCTTGACCTCCACATCAACCCCAGCAGGAAGGTCAAGTTGCATCAAGGAATCAATTGTTTGGGCAGTCGGGTAGAGAATGTCAATGAGGCGCTGATGAGTTCTAATTTCAAAATGGAACCTGGCATCTTTGTGTACATGTGGAGATTTAAGAACACAGTACACTCGTTTCTTGGTTGGTAATGGCACAGGACCCATTGTCTTGGCATTGGTTGTCCTTGCAGCATCCATTATCTGCTTGCATGAGTCCTCGATCAGGGGCACCCAATACGACCTCAATTTGATTCTAATTTTTTGCTTTGGCGCCATCTGAGAACAGAAAATATCATAAGACGATTAAGGTGCACCCAAAAACGCAGAAAATACACAAATACATGACTCCAAGAAGAAAAACGAATTCTGATTTCAAAAAAGACTTGGCACAGGAATATGGGACCCACATCTGCAAAATTGTCAACCTCCTGGCTGATTTCATACACTGTGATTCACATTGCTCACTAGGAAAGGTGGCCATGCAGCCTAAAGCAAAACCATTTTGAAATATGGGCAGTTGAACATATTACAAAGTAACAACTAAAAGGACGATATCCATGTAAATGGAGTGTAAGTTTTCGTATATATGTTCAAAGAAAAAATGAAAAAAAAAAAACCGCAGGCTTTTTCCCACTCCCTAGCCCCTACCATGTGAGAAGGTGATGGGTGATACGGCGAGTGGGTCCACAGATATCTCCATCATCCCATGTTTGAGCGCTTCATTATTAAATGTGAAAAGTTTTCCATGTCTCTACAGGCTCTAGAACCTTTACTGATTATGCAAGAAGTTCTTTCCAGAAACATCAAGTTATGGGACACTTGCAAATGGAAATTAGGTAAGAATTTCTCTCGTAAAATAAACGGGTTCATAAGCAATGGTAATGGTACAGTCCATTTGAAACTCCAACAAATCAATGTGTACCACTGACAGTTTCAAATACACTACTAAAGGCTTCAACAATTGCATAGATCAGACGATCCCTATCAACAGAGCAAGAGAGAAATGTTAAGCAGGATTTGAGCATAAATAACTTGTATATCAATGCTCAAGGTAAGAGCTTTTCCAGTACACAACATATACTTCATTTCTGAAAAGTTTAAGTTGGGTAAATTATGATGCAACCTAATCATAATGTGCAACATTTAAGGATTTCTAGGTGAGATTCATAGATGGATATATAGGTAAAAGGTTCAATAATCAATAATGTATAGCCCCGTGGGCAGAACGTGGGAAGAATATGGAGATCAGCTTTCTATTCATTTTTGTGCAAATAATGTTAAACATTGGATCTATACCTAATGCAGCTCTCCCAGCATCCTAAGCTAAAAGGTATCAAACTGGATAAGGTTAAGAAATTGAGCATGATCTTTGGACTTGCTGCAATAATCTGCAATATAATGAAATGCAGATGAACTAGAGCTGATTTCACTCACTGCCATCAAAAGTGCTTACTCCACAGAACAACTAATATTCTTCAACTCCTTTTATCAATCAGAACAAATATGCAGAAAATATCTCCAAAACCATGTTGCAGTAAGTGAGGCTCCTATAGTAAAAGGAAAATTAAGTCAAACAACTATGAGTAGTGCTCTATTACCTCACCATGAAGCTTATGTCTGAACTAAATGACTAGAGAGTAAAAGGAATGCTCCTTAATTCCCTATGTCAATCAATATTGCAAAGAGAATGTGCTTCACTCACCAAAACAATAAAGTAAAACTTCCAATTCATATGCTGGGCAGATTCGGGCACCAAATTGTAAACATAATAAAAGATTATTAAAGATTTTAAATACATTTTACTCTTCTTTGGAATCACCTCTATGTTTAAAAATCAATAAAAAGCATTCAATTCATGACAACCAGACCAATAAATTATGCTCATAACTTGAAACAATAACAATCAAACTCAGGCACACCCCCAAAAACATACACACACTATACAATGACAATCAAACACCCAAACATGAGCGCGCACCCACACACAGGTACAACAATGATTACTTGCTTCACAATGTCGGAAAACGTAGCCAAGAACATGTCATCAAGTACAACACATTGACATCAAAAGAATTTCAAGTTAACATTGTTGCTATATTTGCAAGGAAACTAAAGAAAATTACTAACAAAACATAGAAAATCTGATTTCCAGCAACCAAATGGAGCAATACGGGGAAAAGGTACCTTGTCAGAATCAGCACCAACACTAAGCGTGGAAGCACCAGGAGTTTCAACCTGAAACACACGTACACGCCAAATCAACATTAAACAGAAAAAGATTATTAATTCAATTCGTGTCCTCAAGTTGTACAGTAACAATTAGGCAGAATTCCAAACCTCAAGGTCAGCAGAGTCAGAAGCAACTAGGGTTTCAGGAGCAGCAAAAATCCTAGAAGTTGACGGGCGAAGGGGTTTTAGGGCTTCAAATTTTAGGCAATTTGAGGGCAAACAGAGAACGGAAAGTTCGGTTTTCGTCGAGACGGTGCTGGAGGAACGGCATAGTGGGAATAGTGTAGTTACAGAAAGTGCTGATGATATCGCCATTGANTGAGGGCAAACAGAGAACGGAAAGTTCGGTTTTCGTCGAGACGGTGCTGGAGGAAGGGCATAGTGGGAATAGTGTAGTTACGGAAAGTGCTGATGATATCGCCATTGATTATCTTCTCCAAAGCGCGCTCCCTCTCTCACTCACTCACTGTTTGGTGCGATGAGAACTGAGAATTGGAAGCTACTTGGCCCGGCGCTTGAAATTCTCAATCCCAGGTTTATCCAAACGTTTTTCTTTTTCTTTTCTTTAAAAAAAAAGAAAGAAAGAAAGAATGAAATACCAAATATAAATCTCACTTTGAATCCCAAAATATACTTTGATTTTCAATATATACCTTGAAATATTAAAAATTTTATTTTCTACCCTCAAAATACAATGGTCACTTCGTTAATTCCCCAAATAATATTCAAATAAAATTGCTCACGAAAAGCATGTAAGAACAGGGAAATATTCGACAGTGGGCCTGAGGCCCAGATTGCTTTTCAAATCCTTGTCCAATTTAGTTGGGCTACACTTCGCAAATCCTTCGCTAATATGGTAGGCCTTTCATTTAATGGACTAATATTTGGGCTTGCACGTCCTCTTTCTATATATTTTCTTGAGGTTTAGGGAGGCCGTATCTTCTAAAAAATTTAATAGGATAAAAATATAATTTTTAAAATAATTGGGATAGAAGTACATATGCTAAAAAAAAATCATAAAAGTCCTTTTACCCCTTTCATAAATAGTGCATACCTAATTGAATGTGAGACTTTCAAAATTCTTTTTGATATTTGTGTATCATTTGAATTTTGAAATTGCACGCACGTAATACAGTGACATCAAATAGTAACATACTCAACAAAAAAATAGTAACATCAAACAGTGACACGTTCAACAAAAAAATAGTAACATCAAACAGTAACATACTCAACAAAAAAATAGTATCATCAAACAGTAACACAAATATTTTTGTTAAGTGTGCCACTATTTGATGTTAACTCTTTTTTTGTTGAGTGTGTCATTGTATTACGTGTGTGTGTGTGTGTGTGTGTGTATATATGAAAATTCAAAATTCAAATGATATACAAATATTAAAAGAAATCTTGAAAGTCTCGCATTCAAATTTTGAAAGTCTCACATTCAAGTATGTATGCACTATTTATGGTAGGGGTAATTATAGAATACATTTTAGAAAGAATTTAAAAATATTTTAAAATATGTACTTATTGACAACTATTTGATGAAAAATATGACTTAAAATGAGGATAAGTTTGGAGGTGATACTTAAAATCAAATAAGTTTTGAAAGACGTACTCACATCCCATTATCTCTATTTTTTTTCTCTTAATAATGCTTTTTTTAAGCAATTTTTTTTTATCATAAAAGCAAAAAATTGTTTTACATCTATATTATAAAAATGAACTATGTGAATTTTAGTCCATAAATGATATACCTCTATATATATAGAGTAATGCTACATAGACTTAAAATACTTATTTGATCAATCATGGTCACTAATTTAATAATGAGTCTCAGTATTTATTGGGACCACTATCTAATTAATGGTTATGATTAATCAAGTTAGTATTTTAAGTCTAAGTAGCATTTTGTCAGTATTTTAAGTCTAAGTAACATTTTGTCTATATATATGAATATATAACTTACTATACATGTGATTAAATTTGAAAAAAAAAGAGTAAATTGATATGATGTCCTCGACTTGAAATTATTTAATTGTTTCTTTTTTCTCTACGCCTTTACACAATTACTTGTTCATTGGTCAGGTGTACTTAGTGTACAAGATTTCCGTTATTACGGAATCTGAAGAAAGTTATATGTACGCAACTTTACTCGTAGGAAGACTGTGTTCATAACTCGAGCATGACCTTCGGATCAAAATAGAGCAATTTTACCGTTACGCCAAAGCCCGTCTTTGATTAATGTCTTGAGTTAAACAAGCAAGTTTTTAAATGAAGCAGCTGATCCTAACCTAAAGGAGAGTGGCCTTAAATTACTTTGATGAAGGAAACGAGGGAGTTACTGTCAGCTAAAGAAGCACAGCTTTTATGAAGTTTTTGTAACCACTCCTCAAGTAAAACTACCTTTCTTCTTCTTCTTCTTCTTCATCATCATCTATAACTCCACATATATTAATTAAACAGTCCCATTAAACGATCTCCCGTGGCATAAATCTAATGACAGAGCCCTTTTCTCCACACCCCTGCACTCTCACTTTATTAAAACTCTGCCCATCTTTCAGTTCTATTCTTCCTTATTCTTTAATAGCACTTAAAACTTACTTCAATACACCGTGCTAAGTTTAATAAGAACTGCAAGGGACACTAAGTAACGCTCCTATAGTCCTATATTTATAAGCCTCACCTCTTTGCCATTGACATGCCATCCCTTCAACTGCAATTCTTGTAACTTGTCAGCTTCATGGACATTCCCGCAAGGCAAAAACCTAATTATTGAGAGGAAGCCATGAATTTCAATGTTTTTAGTCTATGTGCTGTGGTGTTTTTGGTTATTTTAGATGGCACTCATGGTGGTTTTGAGGGGAAGGGATACGTTATTACGTGGGATGATATGCAGGTGGATGAGCCGTGGGAGANTCTCATGTTTTCCTGTTTTTCTCTGAAATTTTGGTCCCTACTCAAATTCCTCCCATTGCTTTGCACTCTCTCTCTCTTCTCTCTGCAATGTCCATTTCTTTATAGTTCTTGTTGCTGTGTGACCTAATAATCCAGATATATGCTACTATATATATAACAGGCACTACCATTATTTCATTGATCTATATATTTGGGTTTATTGCATGCTTAAGTCTCTCAATTTTGGACAATTTGTTAAATTTTTATGCAGAGAAAAGGTGGAAATTCCAGCCTCAAAGCCATACATTTCATTCATTGGAAATGTGAATCACACAAACGAAACTGTTATTACCTGGAACAACAAAGCCTCTGATAAAGACAAGGATGGGAAGGAAATAGGAACCTTTAGAACAGCCACAGTCTCAGTAGCATCCAATTACTTCTGTGCGAGTGGGATCACATTCGAGGTACTATACCTGAAATCCATCAACATAAGAACATAATGTGTTCTAGGAATTTAGTATGTTGACATAATTCCGTTAGTCACATTAGTCAAGTCTTGGAAGGTTATGTTAATTCATTGGTGGTTCCATTGCAGAATTCGATAAAGGCAGCCCCTGGAAGCTACGGCATGCAAGCTGTGGCATTGAGAATAGGTGGTGATAGAGCCATGCTCTATAACGTTAGGATTCTTGGAACACAGGACACACTTTTAGATGACACTGGATCGCACTTCTTCTACCAGTGTTACATTCAAGGAGCTGTTGATTTCATTTTCGGCCATGCAAAGTCATTGTATCTGGTATAATCCTGCTCACTTTCTATCATTTTTTTATTTATTACTAAATGGACCCTTAATGTTTTTTCCCCACCTGTAATTGGAACCTTGAACAGGAATGTGAGATTCATTCAGTAGCTGAAAAATATGGGGCCATAGCAGCTCACCACAGGGATGCACCAGATGATGATACAGGGTTCTCCTTTGTGGAGTGCAAAATCGCGGGAACAGGTTCCATATACTTGGGAAGGGCTTGGGGAAAATATTCGCGAATAATATTTTCATACTGTGACATTGACAACATCATTACTCCCTCGGGATGGAGTGACTGGAATGACCCATCTAGCCAGAAGTATGAAATTTTCTTCTCTGATTCATTTCCCCTTTAAAATGTTTAACAGATAGATAACAATTGAAAATCTTAGCAAAATATTTTTTTTGTTGTGTATTCATAGGACTGCAGTGTTTGGTGAATATCGGTGCACGGGCAATGGAGCCGATAGGAAGAATCGAGTGCCATGGTCCAAGTCTTTGAACGACAATGAAGCAAGGCCTTTTCTGGATTTGAGCTACATAGGTGGACAGCAATGGCTGAGCCTGTAGTCTTCTGTTCAAGTGTTCCACTTCACATCTGCATCCAAAGGCATGGTGGATACAGGCTCTTTCTGTTCTAGCTTTGAAGGCACTATAATAGAATACTGCAGTTTTGAGCATTTGTTTCAGTTGCACTTTTCGAAGTGAGAAGTAATGGATAGCCATTGCAAAAAATAATTCGAGAATTCATAGTTCACCTACTAGCTATACAACAAATATCAAAATTTTATTTCGGTGAGCTTGAAAATAAAAACGTTTCTATAATATTTTAGAAATATGTCAAAAACAAGATGAAAAAAAATTTTAAAAAATGGACAAACTTCACTTCACGTCCTTGTGGTATACTTCAAATGCACATTGCCTCCCTATGATTTAAAAATGTTCACATAACCCTCATGTGATTTGTAGACCTAAAGTTTGTTTTCGAAACATTAGTTAAAACAACCGAAACATTTTGAAATACCTTGAAAAACACTGAAACACCTCAAACATAAGAATTTTGATATTCAATCAATAATTCATTTCGGTTTTTATGAAAACGAAAACGTTTCAGAAGTTTCAAAACAAAATTTAATTCCTTGATACACACACACACACAAAAAGAATTCTAACTTTGTTAACCCTCAAGTACATCCAAACTAAATATGACCATGTCAGTCTGTAAATGGGCATGCCGTCCCTACACTTGTTCAGGGCGTATTAGACAGCCACGCTAGGAGACAACACTGGATAGTACAAAGTCTAGCAAATTGAATTTTCAAACAATGACTTGAAAACTACACCATAGTACTTAACAATCAACAAAGATAGCAAGTCATAATCATATAAAAGTAACAACAGAGGGTTCATGATAATTATAGTATTACAGAAAGCTCCAATATCATGTGTAGACATTCAAATACAGGAAAACACTAAAAACTTACGGGCTGCAAAAGATCCAAACTGCAAGAGTGCTTCTAAATGTGCGGTTCTCCCTTACATGCTCCAGAAAAAATCAGTAAACGACAGAACCCGCCACAACTTCATTGATGTACACCTAAGGTTATATACAGAATGTCCTACAATCAAACCAGCTAAATCACCATCGCCATTGTTAGAGAATGCGACACTACCAACTTCTTATGCCCCCACTTCCATGAGTTCTGCTTCACATATCGGCCCAGCAGTTTCAGGCACCTCTAAGTTGTCCCCATTGTCAACTTCATCATTATCATCACCATCATCTTTGTTAATTCCATTATTATCTAAATCATCCACATCATCATCACCAAGGTGATGATCAGTATTGCCCTTCTCATTTATGTCATCAGGATGATGACCATCATCTTCCTTGTCCATGTCCTTAATCAATTGTTGCTGCTCATAATTGTCCTGGTCCATGTACTTCAAAAGGCCATCAGATGATGCCAAGCCATCTAATTTAGGTGTGTCCTCTTCAGCACCACCGAGTTTGATATTGGTGGGAACCTCATTAGATGACATAGGAAAACTATCAGATTTGGCCTCCTTAATAGTCGAAGTTACAGAAAGCTTAGTATCTGGGCTGACATCTTCAGATATGGTTGACAGAACATTCGGATTCGGCTCAATATCCACCCACTGATCTCCCACCCAATCTCTTGAAATTCTAAGGTTTTTTCTGTCTACATTCAAAAATAAATTTTCACCTGATAACATCCAAAAATAATTGCATTAGAGAAGATGGGAATGAGATAGTTAAAGAAGTGCAGTAAAAAAAGAAAACAAAAAGACCACGACGGTAGAATTACAAAATATAGGAATAGAAAAACATTCCAAACAAAACATACTTGGAATATACACTTGATGAATTTCATCACTGGAGTGACCAAAGCCAGTCAATACCCCTTCCCACCAGCCATCACTCCACCATGCATCCACTGCAGCTCCAACATCAAAAGCAAGGTCGAGTTGATCATGAGCAGAGGCAGGCCTGATTGTTGGGCGACCTGAGTATCTCATTCCAAGTTTATCAGGCATGGCCAGTCTGAAAGCTGGAATCCATTCCTATAAATTGAAAATGTTAAAAAAACTTATTTATTTCTTTTGCTTTTATTAGGATGACAATTTGGATGCCAGAATCTAGACAGTTTGTCCCCAAAGGACTAATCTGGACTTGTAGTATGCATTTCTCACAAAAAATTGTACAACAAACATGGAAACCAAATTTGGCATATAGACACCACATGCAAATCATGACCTTGTAAATCACACCAGATACGGTACTTGACCATGTAATCCAGAGTGATACTTCTTATAATGTCAACCTGGGACCGGGGACCGCCAGGATAAAAAACAACCCATATCCTCTCCACTTAAATCATCCACAAATTTAATCCACTTTGCGAGTGATTAAGTAGAAGCTAAGATCAAAATTCAATGGACCATTAATTACCCATGTAGGGAAAAGATTTAGAATGGTCAAACAATATCTGGTTAGCCACCCTCACTAGTCATGGATAACATTTCTCTTGAAACAGGGTCTGACATTTATTGCTTTTCACAAGAGCCCCTAACACAACTGTTAGATAGAGTTCCACTGCACCAAAATCAGACACTACNGGTTAGCCACCCTCACTAGTCATGGATAACATTTCTCTTGAAACAGGGTCTGACATTTATTGCTTTTCACAAGAGCCCCTAACACAACTGTTAGATAGAGTTCCACTGCACCAAAATCAGACACTACATATGGTCTACAAACTACATACAAACAGATCTTGAAGGAAATGATGTGTCTGATTGGTTAGAGGCATAAAAAACATCACCGGCTTGTAAGAGGTGCACATAACTAACTAGACCTTAATCTACCAAATTGGCAATCAATATTGACATTTTACATTACATTAAAGAAATCTCAACAGATATATTTAAGTTTTCAGTGAATTAAAAGAACAAAAACTACAATGATTATAGGTTGAACCGCATATGATTATAGGTTGAACCGCATACAACTCTACATCAATTTTGTCTCAAAATTCAAACATCCTAGAATTCAAGTTCTTTAAACTTTCTCTTTGGTAGATGGCATTAANAGCAATAACTAGTATATCTATATAGTAATGTACAATATAATTCAAATTTCAAAAGACAAATAAAATGACTTTTATTTTTTGTAGTTGAGATCTTTTTAAATTTTACTTTAAACTTAATTCAACAGCTAACATTAATAACTCAATTNATAGTAATGTACAATATAATTCAAATTTCAAAAGACAAATAAAATGACTTTTATTTTTTGTAGTTGAGATCTTTTTAAATTTTACTTTAAACTTAATTCAACAGCTAACATTAATAACTCAATTTTAATAAGGAAAAGAAGTTCCTAAAGGTGTGTTTGGGATAATTTTTTAAAAATGCTACGAAGACTAATAACTTCTCATAATTATTTTAAAAACAAAAATAGTGTTTAGAAGTATTACACCACCACCACTGCCGCCGCCACCACCATTATCGCTACCGCTATCGCCATTACCGTTACTATTACCACCACCACCATTACTGCCACCACCACTGTCGCCACCCTACCATCCCCACCTAGGGCTGTCAAAATTCAACACGACACGATTAATCGATACGAATTAAACGGGTTTTGGTGATAAACGGGTCGTGTTTAGGTGAGACCTTTCAAACCGTTTATCACACGTTTATCCGTTTAAATAAAATTAATATAATAATAAATTAATAATTATTTTAAAAAATTAGCAAGAAAAAAGAAGTAAAAAAATCATTAAAAAAAAAAAGTAAAGTAGTAGTTTAAAGACAAAGTAGAAGAGTTAGAGAGCACTTCAAAGGCAAAGGCAAAGGCAAACAAATGTCTTTTGTTTTTGTCCTACATTGGAAAATGAGGGGAGATGAGGAGGGTTGAGTTGCCTATAAAAGACAATGACCTGTTGCTTTTATTTTTAAAGCCTTCAAGTCTTATTTTTCAAGGACAAAGGAGAAGAGTTGTAGAGTACTTGAAAGACAAAGGCAAACCAATGTCTTTTGTTTTTGTCCCACATTAAAAAATGAGGGGAGATGGGGAGGGTGAATTGCCTAAAAAAGGCAATAGCCTCTTTCTTTTTTTTTTTTTAAAGCGTTCAAGTCTTATTTTTATGAGATTTGATTTAAAATTCCTCTTTTTTGAGGTAAGTGCAATTAGTAGTAAAAAAATGGAGTATTAAAATTTGTTGATATAATTTTTTAAAAATTAAACGGATTAAACGAGTCGTGTCGTGTTACCCGTTTATTAAATGAGTCGTGTTCGTATTGAGATTTTTTACCCGTTTATTAAACGTGTCATGTATGAATTTATACGTTTTTCACTTGTCACCCGTATAACCCGACACGTAACCGTTTAACCCGACACGATTGACACTCCTAGCCCCACCCCCCACACTCACCCCCATTACCACCACCACCATCATTGCCGCATTCACCACTTTTGCCACAATAATCACCACCATCACCACTACCAACACCGCCGCTACTACCACCACCACCACCATGATCGTTATTGTCACCCTACTATCGTCAATGTCTCACCATTACCCCTACCACTCCCACAACCATCATCACTACAATCATTATCGCCATCACTACCGCCACTGCCACACCACCGATTGCTACCACCTTTGTTCACCACCGTCACCATCTACCACCATCATTATCTCATTCTTATATTTTTTACCAGTATCACCATCATCCCACTACCACCGTCAACACTCACCACCACCATTGTTGCCCACCATCGCTCACCGCCATCCACTACCACCACCCACTACCATAACCACAACATATCACCATCGTCGCCAGCCATTTTCACCCACCCCCTCCCCACACCTACCACCACCACCCTTATCTCCCACCACAACCACCACCCATTGTCACCTGCCCTCGACCACACCTATTGCCACCACCGCCATTCGCAAACACCTATCACACTATCGTCCAAAAGCACCCATCGTCGCCCACCACCACCATCGTCATCCCCCACCACCACTATCGCCGCCCCACCACCATTATTGCCAACCACCACCACCACTGTCGCCCACCACCACCGCCGTCACCCATGTTTGACACTACCACTATTGTCACCCAAAACTCACCATCACTGCTGTCACTCAAGGCTGCCACCGCTACGATGGTCATCTCCACCTACCACAACCATCACCGTCTGCCATCACTACCATACTGCCCACCATCATTACCACTACTCACCCCCATTAAAATCGGTGTTTAAATTATTTTCCTTCTCTTCTCCTATATGTTTGAAATTTGATTTTAGATATAAAAACAAATATGTTCATTGTTGATATTTTTTTTATTACTCTGTGCCTTCAAATATGAGCAATAACTAGTACTTTCATATTTGCCTTCCTCCCTAGACTAGATTCTTATAGCAAAATGTCACACAAAGCCACTTCTTCCTCTGCTTGCTTTTTCTTATGCTGCTTGTTCCTGATTTGGCTCTTCATCCTCTTACTAGTCATGTCTGCGCGGATATTAACCTCCACACCTAGTAGTAAAGCTCTATCTCTAGAAAATATAACAGTAATATCATGTGGTCACCACCATGTTATATCACCCACTAATAACAAAACATCAAGTAAACTCTATTATTCAAATGGCAATTGCTGGATGGAATAGTTTTTTTTAGTTACTGTAACATTGGGGTTTATTTTATTTATTCTGTCATTTTTTTTATTAGTGGTCGATATCACGTATCATGACTGATATCACCATTTACATTAAATATTTTCCCCTCTGTCTTACTTGATGGTCATGGGCATAGGCGGAGCCAGTTGGGCTCCTCAAATTTTTTTTCTTTCATATTAGACATGTGTTTTATGAAATGAAAATTAGATATATTAATTTTGTTCATCCTAATATTGTGTTTTGGTGATATCGATTTAAATAGACTCCCACCTAAATGATTGTTAACTTTTCGAACAATGTTATTGAGACCTAACTTAAAGACCTAATGCATTGTGATATTAAAATCTAATAGTGATTGTTATTATTAAATAAACTCAACTATTTATCTAATGGTCACAAACTATTATGTCTTAACCAATTAAATCTCAAATTAAGGTTATTTCATTATTGTATAAAAATGTGTCAATTTTGTAGTAAACTATAAGATCATAAATATGAGAGATTGTTACCACAATTTTATGTATAAAAGAAATATTGTTAATAAAATTGATTCTTAACTCTTTCAAATAATAAAAATATATCAGGTCAATTGTATGTGATAATTAGTCGCATTTTTTAAAAGAAATTTTATTTTCATTTTTGTTCCCGTCAAAGTGAGGGACTTTCCGAGGAAGCTGCCACTGCCAGGCAAGAAAGTAATGGCAGAGTCGATTCTTGCACTTATATATATAGAGCTTCGTTTGGTGCAGGACATAATGCATATACACTAGGGCTATTAATAGCTTGTTATATTTGCCATCTCTCACCAGTCCAGACCGAGTCACATAGGAAAAATGGAATACAAAGCTGCTTCTTCCCTTGCTTTCATCATCTTATGCCACTTGTTCATGATTTGGCTCATTATTCTCCAGCCAGTCATGTCTGCGAGAGTTTTTGTACCAAAACCCCCGGCACCCACGGAGGGTATGCCTGGTACATTCTTTTAGAACCCTCTCTCTCTCTCTCTCTCTCTCTCTCTCTCTGTGTCTCTCTCTCTCACTCCCTGTTTATTGTTCTTGCAGTATATGCAAGGCCTTCACCTAAAGCCCCTCACCCGTAAGTTGGAAAAGAAGAAAAGAGGGTTTAAAGTTGGTGGTTCTACTTTCTAGCTACATGTCCGAAGCAAGAAAAAATGAAGTTTATGTACTGTTTGGTAATTTTCTTTAAAAAATTAGTGGTTTCAAAATAAAAAATTTCATCACTCTTTTGTAAACCTTATTTATAGGAATCTTATTACATACACAATATGTGTACGTGTATATTTACTCCAAAGGAAGGGGACAAGATATCCAGATAAAATACAACAAATATTAGTTGAAAACTCACTTAA